TTTCTGTAGGTCGGTCTAGATCCTGTTACAGTAACCCAAAAAACAATTCAAAATTAGTCAAGAGTATACTCATTTGAAAGATCCCGACAAGCCAAGTCGAATGCTCCAAATTTCATCTCTCTAGGATTACTGTAGCTTGGGATACGGTAGTTTTAGAGCACTACAGTAACCCAAAAATGCCTAAAATGAGTCTAGAACCTTCTAAAACCCCCGAATTCTTGTTTTAAACAAAAGCAAAAAAAGTTTGCCACCGAGTGGAATCGAACCCTGGCGTTGAGTTTCCGAAAATTCGCATGTCCAAAATCCCACTAGGCCATCTAAGCAAAATTTTGAAAAATGTCGATTTTTTGGTTTTTTAAAGGTTTTAGGGGTTTCAAAAGGGTTTTAATGGGTTTCAGAGCTGTTTTAGAGGTTATTTCGCACTGAAAATTGCATTTGCAGGGGTTATTTTGGTCCAAGATGGCCTAGAAAGGCTCCAAATTGTCCTAGAGACAAAAACACCCAAATTTTCTAACATTCCAGATCATCTTCGTCACCCCTGGCAACGGTGTACTTCATGTGGACCGAGACCTCGTTAGTCTTACTAAACAAAGGGTCATCGACATGGGTATCTCATTGGATATGGTCTGTCTCGGAGAGCAACCCCTCCACGCGGTCCCTCTATTCGTTTTCCACCCCATCGTCGAGCAGAAGGACACCAGATGTGAATATTTTATCCCTCATTGGATGAATTACTCGTATTATCGAATGGCCCGGAGATCGGCGATTTCCGTGCAGTTCAGGCCGCGAATTCAGCTGCCCGCCGACGTCTTATCGGCCCCTAAGAAGATGGGAATGGGCGAGACGGGCATTGTGTTGAGGGAGAATGAGAAGGTAGGGAATTCGCTGAGATTTCTGGGGAAAAATCCGGCGAAAAATGAAGTATTTAGGGCTGGGGGAAACGGGATGGCCTAAAAATTGGAAAAATGCGATTTTTCAGGCTTTTAGAATCAATTTTTCTAGATTTCCCATAGCAAAATCGAATTCCCCATGCAAAACTACCTCTAGAGACTTTTTCGGAATCGAAATCCCTCACAATCGGGGTGTTGTACCCATGGAAGAGTTTTTGCAAAAGCTAGGCCACTATTAGAAAGTCGGCCGTATCTCGAGCTACAGTAATCTTAGAGCAATGAAATATGCACTAATCGACTTGAAATCTTAAGAGCTTTCAAATGAGTATACTCATGACTATTTTTTGAAATCATATTCGGTGTACTGTACTTTGGGCAAAACTACAGTAATCCCGAAAATTACTCAAATATAGTCATGATTATACTCATTTGAAAGCTCTTGGAATTTCAAGTCGATTGGTGTAATTTTCATTGCTTTAGGATTACTGTAACTCGAGATACAGTAGATTTAGTGGCCCAGGAAAAACTACAGTAACCCAAAAAAAATCTCAAAAATACTCATGAGTATATTCACTTGAAAGCTCTGGGAATTTCAAGTCAAATGCGCTAAATTTCAATCTTCTAGGATTACTGTAACTCGAGATACGATAGTTTTTACAAAGCTACAGTAACCCAAAAACATTTCCAAAAATAATCATGATTATACTCATTTGAAAGCTCTTGGAATTTCAAGAGGTGTAATTTTCATTGCTTTAGAATTACTGTTGCTCGAGATACGGTAGTTTTAGCGGCCTAGACAAAACTACAGTAACCCAAAATGCTCAAAGTGAGTCTAGAACCCTCTAGAAACCCCGAATTCTTGCTCTAAACAAAAGCAAAAAGAAGTTGCCACCGAGTGGAATCGAACCCCGGTGTTGATTTTTCGAAAACTTGCATGTCCAAAATCCCACTAGGCCATCCGAGCACCTTTTTGAAAAAAGTCAATTTTTGTGGTTTTTTGAAGGTTTTAGGGGTTTTCAAGGGTGCCTGAATTGATTTTATGGGTTATTTTGGTCTAGAAAGGCTCAAAAACACGATTTTCAGCCAGCGACACCTCCAACACTACCACCAGCAATCGTCTACAAAACCGACGCCGACCGGAAGGAGGCAGCAATCAAAGCCTACAACAAAAAGAACGAGAAATACATTGAATACGATAAAATGAAGTTGGAATCAGTGTGTGCATCGATTCAACTGCTCCCCAAAGAAGAGGCAAATGATGAGAATCAGGTGGTGATAAATGCACCGAAAATCGGCAAGAAAATGATTCGAGAGCTTCTGGGCGTGGACCCAACGGATTCAGATGACGAGAAGGAAAAGACGACGGCGGATGAGGCGGAGGAGCGGCGGAATGCCATGCAAGCTATGTTTGCAGACTATTTGTGTGAGGGAGAGGAGTGGCCGGATGAGAAGAAGAGCTATGAGAAAGGTATGGGTGGAAAATTGGCTGGAAATCGGCTGAAAATGACCCAAAATCGCTG